CCATTTAATTTGCGTATGCAACCAAAGGCGCAGGCGTGGTTCTTCAAGGTGTTTTTATTTAAAAATTGTGATTAATTGGTAGAAACTAAAGGAATAAGCGTATCGTATGAAAACAGTTCTCATATTATCGTTTTCATATGCCCGACAAATGTATTGTATTATTGTATATTTGCAGATTAATTGAATTCGGGCTTGCTAGTTTTGCGTGCATTTGTTGAATGGATTGCTTTATGTGCGGTATAAATTTGGACTCTGTCCGTAGTATGTCGTATCATTTTCGCCTGGTACATAATTTAGGTCAAAGGGATATATATAAATGTACTTTTGGAGGATATTGCAATACATTTTTCAGCTTCTTGAATTGTTTTGTACGTCATGTACGGCAAGAGCACATGCTTCAAGAGAATGTTGAGCAAAAAGTAAACGCGTCCGAAACAAAAACAGAAACAACCTTTATTGATTCTGCCGCTCCAAGTACTTCTAGATGCTCTACCACATATTTAGATACACGGATTATTCAAACACCAGACATTCCAAGAGAAAACGATTCTGTAATCGAGATTGATAATATGTTAGAATGTTTAAACGAGGAAATGTCTCAATCACAAGAACGTTTAATCGAAGAAAGATTTATTGGATTTGCTCTGATACTTCACAGCAAGAATAATTTTACTCGAAAAGATGTAGAAATTCAAGACAGCGTAATGAAAGACATAGTGAATCCCATAAAAAACTCCGTTAAACAGTTCATACAAAATAGTTATATTTCGAAATCTCCAGATAGTTTTGAACAGCAATTACTGCTGAGCAAATTTATCGAATCCATGTCATATCAATTTCGTGGCTTTGAAAACGAATATCAGTTATTTAAGTGGCTTAATAAAAATGATTATGCACGTAATTTTGAGGATACGATGAAGTTGTTATCACCGGTGTACTTCTGCCTTTATCTTTTCAATTTCGGAAGGCTTTGGAAAAAAGTGATCTGCTATTACAAATTTTAAAAGATGTAGAAAACATCCCAAAAACATTAGAAGAAGGTAATAGTTTTATTTGCGGTTCTTTGTGGAAACAAAAAAGTTTACCACTTCTTGAAAACGGAAAAACTGTTTTGCCTCTTTTTTTATATATAGATGATTCAGAAGTTAATAATCCTCATGGTTCGCATACTAGTTTAGTTACATTTATTTATTATTCATTTCCGGTTATGAGAAATTCTGAAATATATTTAGCAGCCACACTTCAGGGTCGTGATTATAAGCAATTCGGGAATTGGCTATGCCTTCGCAATTTAGTTCGAGACATAAAACACCTCGAAGAAAACGGGGTTACTATTACAACTTCAGAAGGTGAAAAAACAGTGCATTTTATTTTAGGACTTATTCTTGGAGATAACTTGGGCTTAAAGACTATCCTTGGCTTTACTCCTTCCTTCAATAGTAACTTTTTTGTCGCTTCTGCAAAACTCATAAATCGTCGACTCATAAAATGCACAGTGAAGATCTCAATTTATATCGAAATCCTGTTGATTACAATGTAGATGTGCAGTTGGGTGACGTACATTCAACAGGAGTAAGAGAAGAGTGTATTTTTAATTCGATCACTTCATTTCATGTAACTTTTAACTTTGCTGTCGACATTATGCATGACATTTTTGAAGGAGTATGCCATTACGATATGTGTCATATTATAAATTACTTTATTTCCAGCAGTTATTTTTCATTAGAAACTCTTAATGAGAGAAAGCTCATGTTTAATTATGGTGAAATTGAAGTAGATCATATTTCCCCTGAAATTACTTTTGCTCATTTAAGAAAATATCACTTAAAAATGACTGCGCGTGAAATGATGACGTTTGTACGCCTTTTTTCGCTCATGGTTGGTGACCTTGTACCAGAAGACGATCATGTATGGCTGTTTTTTTTTGAATTTGCTCCAAATAATTGATATTCTTCTTTTAAATGAGATTTCTAAGCCAATGGCGGAAAGGCTAAAGTCACTTATAACGAAGCACCACAAAGATTATGTACGGTTTTTTAATGACACGCTTAAATCGAAACACCACTTTATGGTGCATTATTTTTCTATAATATTGCAATCTGGTCCTCCCCGTCATTATTGGTCATTTCGATTCGAAGCAAAACATAAAGATTTCAAAGCATATGCTAGAAACATTACGAGTCGAAGAAATATATGTGTATCCATTTCAAAAAAATACCAACTAAAATTTGCGAAGTTTTTGCTTTATCCCGAGGAAGGAATGTATTCCATTTCACCAAGTCATCTTATTCCTCATTCAGAATATGAAGAAATAATTTACAATTTTTGCGCTCGATATGAGATCAATATAATTAGTTTTCGTTGCTACTCCCAATGTATTTATCGCTCTAAGAAATACAAAAAAGGTTGCTTCATTGTTCAATACGATGATAAAATTTGTGCTGAAAATGCTTTAGTTTATGAGATACTTGAAGTTGCTATTTTCACGGAGTGCGACTCAGTTTATTTTATTTGTCAGCGAATAAAAATACAACAATATAATAAACATTTCGCAGCATACGAAGTACATACTCCTGACATACGAAATCAACGTGACCTAATCGTTTTACCTGCTGAAATTTTGTCTGGTCCACCAATAAATGCACATAAAACTACGCGTGGGAAAACGATGATTCGTCCAACACAATTTTGTTAACGCCTAAAATGCAAGCCCAAAATAATAATATAGTATTAGTTCTAGGAAAGTTTTAGCAAGACAGTAAAACTTAATGTCATGGAACCGGTAGAACCAGTCGCAGTGTTTGTTTCCAGCGAAGCATTCACATCTCCAAACTTCCTCAAGTATCCCAAATAAATTCATTTTTTATATTTTTCATATTAGCACTCATCTTATTCTGCAAGTAGAGCAACAATTGTTTATAGGCATCCTAAAGCACGTATCAAAAACAATTGCTGAAAATCTTTTTGTAAACACTGATATTTCCCTTGGTGGTCGAGTGGAGTTTTTTTTATCAATGGTCGCAATGGATCAAATCCTTTGAAAAGTCCACTACATCGCCATGTTTGGCGAACGAGCATCTTCAGTGCGATAAATCTACCCAATCAAGTGAAGGTCGGGGAAACAATTTAGGTGTTATTCCACAAAGTTCAACGGATAACAATAGTGAAGTTCTGGTGGCTAAGACATCAATCAATTTGATTGATATTATTTACTCAAATTCATACGGCTAAAGCATGGTTGAAACATATAAAAAACAAAAGACCATGGATGATAATTTACGCAAGCTGTTAGTTGAATCGGTTTTACAACATTGTATAATGAACAACCACGATCTTTCCGTTACTGATTGCGCTTCTATTTCACGTAAAATTTGCGAAGTATTCCCTGGCGAGTTGTCGGTAAACAATTATTCTTACTTCATTTCAAAATTCACCTTCTGTTTATTATATCCATATATGTAATACTTCTATATTGGCAGTAAGCTAACTTCTCAATGTGTAACCATTCCGAAATCAAAGCGAGACAGTCTAGTACCGTTTTTGTGAATGTATTGTGTACGTGAGTGCCGTTTTTGTGTTTGTGTTGTGTACATGGTTATTTATAAACGTCCCTGCAAAAATTTGAGGACCAGGTGGTCCACTGGGTCGTAGTTTTAAAGTATGTGCAAAAGGACCAGGTTGCATGCTAGTAACTTGTTATGCTGACCTGGACCACCTCAAGCGTAAAAAACTGATATATGTGTTGAACACCACATCTTCGTGGCCCATCGGCACGGCGAATTTTTTAAGAAAATGCGTTTTAAATTATAGATTTTGCCATGTTATGCAGCGTTGGACCAGAGGTGGTCAGGTCCAATGACATAGCAATGTTAATGTTACCATTTTTTCTCCATATATTTGGACCATTTTGGTTACTAGTGTTGGTTACAAGGTAGCGTAGTCCTGTACTAGTACTTAACCTAGTCCCACTTTTTGCAGCGGTATGTCTTCCTTTTCTTTCGTACGTGTTTATTGATATATCTGTACTGTAATGTTTTCGGACGGTACTAGCTCTTACTGCTAATATAGGAGTATTACATATATGATTATATCGTAAAAAAATATCACAAAATGAGCATTAAATTAATTTTACCCTTTCAGTCATACTATTACCTTGAGCGAAAAAACGCAGCTCCGTTGGGCAAGTTGTACAACAAATTCAGGAATTGGAAAGCAAATTTCAATAAAAAGACAAAGACATCAGACGGTAATTCGAAAAAACAAAAGCAGACGTCATTTTCAATAGGGGAAGATGAGGACGAACATATTAGAGCGTTGACACATGACCTCCATGCAATGGCTTATCAGGAAAAAATCAGACACTGGCGCGCGTGTGCTGCAACACGTATGAACAGCATTCGAGATGCAGAGAATAATACAAAACATATATTTGATGTTTGGCCGCAGTACAAATTGCCTGATGGTTTTCGTTTGGTAGGGCTAAGGCCCTGTCTCCACAGGAAAACACTGATGTCGTGAAAACTATGTCACAAAATATATTTCCAATGGAGACCGCCTATTTCTCATGTGCTGCAATATATGTCAGCGCTTATTGCTTGACATCTATTGCAGGCAATTCGATAGTTTGACAGCCATATTTTCATTTGAAAGAAAGCGTGCTGGTGGTAACATCGATGAAATTTTTATATTAAATCAAAATAAAAATCTCTTCCCTATTGGATTATTTATGATTACGTTTTAGGAAATTATTCAGCAAGTTTTTTAAAGATTTAAATGTTTTTAAACACCTAAATTGAGAGAATGTTGTCTGGTGGCGTCATGCGGCAAATGCTTATTTCAAGACATCAAAGTGCCCACACACAAAAACTTGCAATCACATTGCTCGTCAAAATGACAGTTGGTAGGCCATCGCTGTTCGCCTGTGGAGTTCTGCGGTAAAGCGCATTCTTATTTATTTTCTCTTATTAAAATATTTTTTTTTTAGATTGAGTCTGATTTTGTGTTCTTTTTTCGGAACCAGAAATGAGGTTCTTGATAACCTCACTGCTTTTTGCGATTTGCTTGTTGATAAAGTTTTTCCGAATCACATCAAGGAATTCAAAGATTATGCTAATATGTACTACAAAATAAAGAAAAACAAAGTCAATCTCTCAGAAGATAAACACACTCTTGGGGTATTCACTCCTGCCTGGTTATCTGGTTAAAATTTTGTATTTTGGTATTTGGCTGTGTATTTTTGTAAACTGAGTTAAAAATATAACCACATAACCAGGAACGAAATATTTTAACCTTACTTGTTTTTGATTCTATTTACAAATGTTTTGCTCAACTTAGATTCCATTTGCGCCAAAGCTTTTGTTCTTTTACAGTCACTGCTGCCACGCTCTCGACTAGCTCATAATAAGACTAATGCAAAAAAAAAAAGGCTTTATTCTATCAAAGAGTCACTAGACAGTTTTATGGTTGTTTGCGCAACTGAAACGGAATATAAACAAATGTATGATTGCAAAGTCCAGGCAGAATCATCTATTGCCCCCTTCATATCATTAATTGGAACCCTAGATGAGCCACAATCATTCATGATTGACTTTGACAACATCATTTACAAAGTTTTCAACTTCGCGAAAGCTGTGGATATATGTTTTAAAGCATACCATGTTTTTAATATGGCCTACGCCGAGCCATGCGCTGCAATGTGGGACTTCATTAACAGACAATTCTATCAGTTAACTATCAACGCCAAGCCCAAGCCAGGAATAGAGGCACTGCTTAATGAAATTAAAAGTAAGTACATGTATGATTTTTCACTGAAACTTGCCCTTATAATTTTCCTTTAATTTATAGTCGCAAAAGAAACAAACCTAGAAGAAGATACGAATCTGCCGAGCACCTTTACATTTTGTTAAATACACTAAAATTTACGATAAAAATATAATAAAACCCACCATGCAAAACATGAGAAATAGGCAACAATCGTCAATGTCAACAAATCGGCGACTCGCCGATTTATTGCCGTAGTGAGAAATCGGCAACATCATTTCTTTTAAGTCATTTTACGAATATGTTATCAAAAATTCCCAAACTGATGAATTATGCCCAAGATAGGGTTGAAAAAATAGGAAGCCCCACAACGACGAAAATAGTTAATTTCGTTTAAAAATTATAAGTTTGTATTCAAAAACAAATGAAATATTAAAAAAGAATACAATTGTTCCAAGAAATTATTATTCAAATATCGCCTGTGTTATAATTCGTTCTATGTTTTTTACAGTGTGGAGAATGAAAACAATCGTACATTCTACGAAACAAGCGCCGATTTTACAAAAATAATTTCGGTAAATATACGAATTATTTTTGTGCATTTTACAAAAAGTTCGTAAAAAAATAAAGAAATAGTACGAAATTCTTTTGTAAAATTACGAAATTCGTTAGTAAATAGTACGAATACATTTGTAAAATGTACTTAAGATCTGAGTTCTCATATTTTCGTAGTATGTACGAAAACGGTTTTGTACAATCAACGAAAACTTTCGTGGCTCAAAATGACGAAAAATTTCGTAAGATTTACCCAAGTTTTCGTTATATTTACGCAGTTTTTATTTTCAGTGTAAAGCATTACTCGAAGGCGCATTTTGAAGGGTAGGAATAGTACTAAATAGCATAGCTGTGTAATGATTGAATCAATTGAGTGTGCATTCTAATTTTTTTCGTTTCAAAAATGTGATTGTTTGATTTAAAAAATTTAACAACCACTCTTGAGATTGAGAGAATGTGAATGCAAAAGAAAAACTCAATCATGTACGATTGTACGTTTATGTGATTGCAATCTGTCATTATCATTCAGTACTCATACTATTTGTTGTATCAGAGTTGAGTTTTTGGTACTCAAAATGTGAAACTATAAGATTGCCATCTACCTTAAAATAAGTTAACAAATAAATATTTGCTACTAAAATATTTTTCTAAGTGTTTGGCCGAGCTTCTCCTCAAACTTGAGGCATGAGTTCTGTTGTTGTGGCACAAATGGAGACACCTACATACTTAGGATGACTACGAACGCCAAATGATTTTATAAGAAGAGTTTTCAAGGCAGAAGTATACTCGAGGGTTTGCCATTGCGTGCCGAAGGACGACTGCTATTTTGGGTTATGATCTGACCAGGGATCTAACCATGGTCCTATGGAGTGGACGTACGGACATATAATCACTCTGCTACGGCGGCCGCCGTAAGTAAATGCTATACATATGTATGTATACATACTCGATTATTTGTTCTCAAAATGCATGAAAACTATAGTATGCTTGCAAACAATTAATAACATTTTGTGATAAACAGTTTTACAAATGTATTTCCATTCAAATTTGTGCTTTAATAAAGTATTAATTAAATAAATTATTATTGTAAATTATTATTTTAATAAATAGATATAAAAATATTTATACTTGGCAACTCTTGGACTTTTCTTCATTTGTAACAAATGACAGACGTAAACAAAATAAAAAAATAATTGTAATTTTACAAATTTAGAGCAAACGGGCGTTCTTTACAAAAAAATGTAGTTATGGATCGAATTGCGCACATTTTTTTCCCAATATCAAGTGCCTCCAAGAAGTATTAAACCCAGTGTTGCCAGAACTTTTTGGACGATCCGGCTAAATTGGCAAATATAACCGGCTAAAATGTTTCAACTAAATTTCACATGTTTTATTTAAATAAATCAGGAGTAAAAACACTATTTCTTGGAGAGAAGTTACAAATTCGAGCCGGAAAAAAATTTGTCAGCAAGAATTTGCATTATTGTGGCACATGGTAGGATTTTTTGTCGACGATAATTTGAATAAACAAGTACGTTAAATTTAAAAATTTTCAAACTGGAGCGATTTGAAAATGAAAAGTGTCTGTTAATACTTGTTTACTTAATTAATTTAGTTAATTCCAATGATTTGAAAGGTACTCGGCAAAAAATACTGTATTCTTAATCGGAATGCAATCTCAACCAGAGTCGATATAGTAAACCCGACAAAGAAATTGAAACGTATGTTGAAGAAAGTCGGACTGACAAGATATTTACACGTAGATCCTGTTTTTTGTCCCTCTGAAAGAATTTTAAAAATTCTATGCAAATTTCTTTTGTTTGAAATGCAACCGTGGACACTAGCTGGCAGAAAAACTTGCAAATTTGCGTTCGTACAGAAAATTGCAAGTTTTCTTACTATTTGGTATTTTGAGTGACAATTCTCGCTGGATTTTCGACGAACAAACCTATTGTCTTCCCTACAAGGCCTTCTCAGACTGGCCGATTCTCAATGCACTCAAATAGAAACCAATACACATAAAAAACGCTGTAAAAATTTCCCTTCAATTTTAAGGCAGTAAAACAACGACCTTAAGTTAACCGAGTTAAATCAACCGAGGTCATATGTTGACAAGGGATGCAAAATCACAGTTACACAAAAGAACTGGTCAGATTTTTCAGAAATCCCTTCAATTCTGATGTAAAATATGATGCCAAAAGACTGCAGATATCCCACTTAGATGACCGGTCATATGACCGGCAGATGTCTCGTAGGATTCCCAGAGAGTTTTGCTTTACATAGAAATTTGTGCTCTTTTATTTCCATTTCGACTCACTTCAGTGTTGGTTCCTTTAATTCAAGTTGGCATTCGGTTTTTGGAATTTAAATAAGTTCTCAGCAAAAAAATTTGTTTAAAAAAATACATATGTGTACATAGTGCTTGAAAATATCCATTTTTCCCTTACCTTAAACCTTTGGGAGTGGCAAAAATTATGTTTCTGTAATTTAGGCACTATATACAAACACAAACGCATCTTAAGTGTCTTAATAGTGAAACAATTTCTTATTTTCTAAGTTTGCGAATAAAACTTCACACTTAAAATTAAGACATTTATAATAAACATTTTATGAAGAAAATCTCTTCTTCGTTTAAAATAAAAATAAGCGAAATCGGCCCAATTTCATACAACCCTGCCTGACATGAAAATTTTCTCCACGATAAGGCTAATAGCCATTTCTAACAGATTTTGGGTCGCTTAGTCAAAAATGGAAACATATGTATATACATATTTGAAATTTAAGAAAACAAGGCAAATAGCAAAATCGGCTAAAAACGGCTAATTTTTTTCTGCAAAACGGCTAACAAATCGGCTGCCGGCTAAATCGAAATTTCTCCGGCTGTTTGCTATCGCAACCGGCTAAATCTAGCCGGAAAACGGCTAAAATGGCAACACTGATTAAACCACTAAATAGCGAAGAAAACGCTTTCAAAAATTCGAAACGAGAGTGAAGTGACTGCACTCAATTGTGATCGAAATTGCAGGCAAAATTTGTGCGTGTGTAATTACAGTTTTACTTATTTGAAGAAATGTTGCTCCTTGTCTTTAAAAATAAGCAAACCAAGACCCCCGCTTCCCACTGGTGGTTACATAATACTTGAACAGCTCCTTAATTAACATTTGCTTGTTTTGTGCACGCACGGCCAGTTAAACAGGCATGCTGTCCTTCATCATTCTTAGCAATTTGATGTGCATTTTTATTGTTTTCTGTTGCAAACAGACATTTTAGGAACTAAATAGGTTCTAAAATCTCTTGACACAAGCGCACTTATTTTTAACAGTTTCCAGTTTATGTAATATTACTGAAAACAGCTTTTATTTATTTTATGTATTATGTGATTTATGAAAGCGTCGAATACAAAAAAGGGCTGTGACTGGGTTTATGTAATTTGAAATTGTATTGATGATTACTAATAATGATATAAAGGCGCTTACATGTCGATGGTCCGCTGCAATAACGACACAACTCAAAACTTCATATATTTCAATAGAGCCAATTAACGATTTTTTGTTTCGTAATTTAGCAATAATATGTCTTGGAACATAATTATTCCGGATTATTTGCAGTTATACTGTAAGCTTTCAAATTATGTATTTTTTAAAACCTGAAATTTCGAATTGTGCCGACATATGTTAGTGTTTGGCCGAGCTACTCCTCCGATTGTGGCATGCGCCTTGATGTTGTCGCACAAAGGGAGGGACCTACAGGTTTACGCCGCCTCCTGCCGGGGGCCGACCACTATTACAAAAAATATTTTCTTTTTTTATGTTGGCCGAAACTGGGCCCTGCGGAATGGTAGTGCGCACTTCTAACCACTACACCACAGTGATCGCTTAATTAATTTTAATCATTAATCGCGATTATCCATTTATTCGTTAATTTTTAATCATTCATAAACTAACATTTTGTCGACAATATTCGCATAAGATAGTCCCAAATTTTCACAAAAGAGAAAAGTGATTTTCTTCAAAACTTTTGAATGACGTCTTGACTGAACTTACTAATTCGGAATTTCTACTATTACTTATAGAGTACGCTATTCATAAAGTCTGGGTAATGAAATAAAAATTTTTCTATTATATGTTCCATATACATATATTAGGAGACTTTTATTGTTTAATTTATTTTTTGCACATAAACTTCTTCCAAAAAGTGAGCATGTCAAAATTTTAATAGATATCGGATGTACGGCGACTTTCTAAAAAGATCTCTTAATCTCTTTCATGAAAATTATTCCAAACGAAAACTTAAAATTGATAAAAAAATCTTAACTAAATTTAACTAATTTATTTTAGAAGTTTTAAGTTTATCCCACTGTAAGTGTGAAATCAGTTGCTATGTGTTTCCATGATACAAAAAACCACCTGACAATTAAGCATATTGTAAAATTTCATGCTACCATACGCAGTATCTAAAATCCTTCAAATTTTATTATTAATTCTTCGTTTGTTTAAAAACATTTTATTCTTAGAATCGAAATTTTACCAAACAAAATGTCTTTTGTTTTTAAATAAATGAGGCTAATGCTCAATAAGTTGATAATTGTTGTTCTCATTTGCATACTTCACACCAACTCCAATACTGAACAGTGAAATATATTTTAATTTTACCCAAATAAACAACGATATAGTTTAATGTTCAAGCACATATGGAGGATTCACAAGAGGTGTTAAGTGTCGTAATCTGTTAAAGTCTTAAAATTTTTAAACGTAAAATAACACCTAATACTTCTTTAGGCGTTTTTTTAACATAACCAAAATGATTTTAAACTAGTAGGAATATCTTATTGGCTCTTATTATACCCAACGAATCTTTCAAA